CTCTGACCCGGGCAGGTACTCATTACAGCCGATCTCTTCAATACCCACCAAATCAAAGTCCTTTCCCACCGGACGATGCTCTGCGCCTGGCGCAATCCGGCCAGTGCGATGATGCAGTTCTCGGCCATGCTCTTCTTCGTGGCGCTGATCGGGGGCATCTATTGGAAGATGGACCTGGGGCCCCAGGGGCTTCAGAACCGGATCGGGGCCTTCTTTATCCTGATCATGATGTGCATGTTTAGGTAGGAGGGAGGGAGGGAGGGAGAGGGAGGGAGGAAGGAAGGGAAATTGAAGGGTTGAGACCTGAAGTGGGTGCAGGGTCGGGGCTGTGTCCATCCATTGTCTCTCCTCCATCTCATCCCCTGCCCTCTCTTACCCTCTCTCTCCACCCAGCAACATCTCTGCCCTGGAACTTTTTATCGAGGAACGGGCGGTCTTCGTCCACGAAAAAGCGAACGGGTGCTACCGCCCGGCTGCCTACTTTTGGGCGAAATCCCTCTGTGACATCGTCCCGCTTCGGGTCATTCCTGCCGTCTTTTTTTGCGCGAGCGTCTATCCCATGATGGGTCTGAGAAGGTGCGTCAAGGGGTAGGGAAGGAGGGAAAGGAGTGGAAGGGAGGGCGACAGGCAGGCTTGGATTTCCGAAGTGTAACATTTTTTTTGAATCCTGGCAGTTGACCCCACACACCGCCCTCCACAACGTTTCCTCCACCCCTGCCTCTCCCACAGCGGGTTCGACCACTGGCTCCTCTTTACGGCCACGGTCATCCTCTCGATGCTGGCGGCCGCCGCTTTGTGCCTGATGGTCTCATCGTGGGTACCAATATTTGCCGTTGCTAACCTGGGGGTGGCGCTGATTTTTATCCTCTTCCTGATCACTGGAGGGGTGCTGATTAATTTCGAACAACTGCCGGCTTGGCTCCTTCCCTTCAAATACGTGTCTATATTCCGTTATGCGATGGAAGTGATGAGTGTGAACGAGCTGACCGGTCTCAAGTTTGAGTGCCCCCCGGGGGTGGATGGAGAAGTACCCACGGGATGTTTGGGCGGAAGCGGAGACGTGTACCTCGCCCTGCAGCATTACCCTAGATTCGCGGATTTGTGGAAGAATTTACTGGCGATAGCGGGCATCTTTGTGGCCTGCATGGCCCTCACCTTCTTAAGTCTCAGGAGGATTCGCGTGCGGTAAGCGGAGGCAAGGGAGCGAGGAGGCGACCCACAGGGCCTGGGAACACAGCTCCCAGATCCAATGGTAAGAGGAGCTGAGCGCTAGGAATGTTTATAAACTGTGATAGGGCAAAGGGATTTACAAGGGGAAATGTACGAATTTGCCTGCTTGGGACCGTGACCAGCGCTGAAAAATACCTCATAGAAATTTGGTCGAATGTAGATGCAGAATGGAAAGCAGTTGCCATAGGGATTGTACCCTTTCTCGTGGAAATTTACTACAGGATTCTTAGCGATAGTGACGGCATTTTACAAGTGACATCGTAAAGGATTAATTGCACAAAGAAGTTGACGGCAGTGCCTGCTCTACATAATGGTGGTTATATTGTTAGGTAACCCTAACCCTAACCCTAACAGAAACCATGGCAGGTCTCAAAGAAAAGAATTGAATCTCTTGACTAGCTCTTTTTTCATTGCGTTGTTGTAGGTGCTGATTAATGCCTGAAAACAGGAAATTAGACTGCGCAATACACACTCAAGGACGGAGGTCGCTGCTTCGCTTCTATCGTCACCGGGGAGCGCGTCAAATTAATTTTACCCTGTTCCTCCGCGCATTCACGCATCCCGTCATCCATGACAACAGCACAAGCTGAAAAGAATTCTGTTCCTTGCGTCGCGTCGCCTCAAATTCTGGTGTTTGCCCGCTGTGTGCGTGATCACGACGGGATCTTTAATAGACCTCCTCGCCCTCTCGGTGGTGGGAGGCCAGCCCGCGCTTTCCTCTCTTGTATCTCATTCCCTTCGTCACAAAAATAGAGTAATTTGTCCGTCACATCAGCCCTTAAATTTCCTTTATCTTCTTTCAAACCCCATGCTATGGTAAATAGGGTTCAATCGGGCTTATCTTGCGAAAACTCTCCTCGCAAGAGGAAGGCCTGAGGGAACGCCAGTTGGTTTGTCACAACAATGGTCAAGCACGCTTCCACATCGGAGGCCTTCTGTCCAGGCGATGCCGAGGGAGCCATTTGTCGATTGGAAGAGTGCATCCGCGGGAACTATTGCAAGGGTACGGCCGGTTGGGGCGTCGTGCGTGAGACGGCGCACGAGGTGGCGGTGGCGGAGGCAGACAGACCGGTTTCTCACGACACGGACCTGATCGAGGTCGCTTTCCGCGCGGTCCTGGCTGGCATCGTCCAGGAGGCATTGGGAAAGGGGGAGGACGTGTTGGACGAGGAGAAATTTGGACTGCGGGCTTTGTTGGACCTTGCCCTCGACTTGGCTCAGGCCGGCAGGGAGGAGCAGGGGCCCGGCCTGGGTCTCCGCAGCGTCTTCTTCCTGTTAGAGGACATCTTCGAACTCTTGGGGGTGGAACAGATACAGAACTTTTGGCCAGAGGTGGAGAAAAGGGAGAGCGCCCTGTTCGGGCTCTTCAAAACAGCCCGGAAGAGCAATTTGACCATGCTAAAACTCTGCAACTCCCTGCTGCGGAAGTTATCCAAAGGCCACAACACGGCCATCTGCGGGCGGATCATGATGTATTTGTCGCGAAATTGGGAGCTCAGCGATCCCTCTGCGATCAATAAGGGGGGAATGGCGAATTTGAGCAACAAGACAGCTTTTGAGGAGCCGGAGGACTTTGCCCGGCAGCAGGCTCGAG